GACACAGCCTTCCTTGTGGCCGGAAGCTTCTGATTTGTATCTCCTTTCATGTGATCAGCTCTTGAGTTAGATAGTTTGTGCAAAAGAAGAATGATTTTTTTTCAGTCCAGCTGGACTGCATCTCTCATGTCCTTTCCAAGCTTGGCTGGTAGCTGTGACTTTGGGTAACTTCTCTGTGGCCCTCGTTTCCCCTGCTTTAAAATAGGACCTGTGTAGAGCTGTCTGCAGGCTGGAGGGAGTGGGCGCAGGGAGACTTCAGCAGGGTGCCTGGCACTCGCTTCTGCTTCTTGTTATTGTTTTGGAGATGGGATCTCACCATTGTCCAGGCTGAATTTGAACCCTTAGCCTCAAGCCATCCTTGCACCTACCTCCTGAGTAGCTGGGTCTACTGGCGCCTACTAGATAAATGCAGCATTCTTTTAAAAATATTTGCGGTGCAGGGGATTGAACCCAGGCCGTGTTAGGCAAGTGCTCTCCCCCGAGCCACACCCCAGCCGTGTTCATTGTCAGGAAGCGTCGTGGAGGCGGTTGCTAACGGCCTGGCCTCTTACTCACCTTTTGCCTTCTGGCTTCTTCCTCCTCAGCCCTTGCTTGCTCTATCCCTATCCCCTGTCATTCCAAGGCCCCGCCCCAGGTATCAGGAAGCTAGGTGGGCATGCCGGTGGCGAGGCTGCCCCCTTGGGTGTTCCGTGATCCCTGGTGGCARTGAAATGGACCCAGCCCTGGACTTGCCCTCCAGAAAGACAGTGGGCACTGTCCTGGCCAGCGTGGTGCYGTCCAGCAGCCTGGGTCAGCCTGATGCCTTTGGTGTTTCCTGACTGTTCCTTACAAAGGCCAGGAAGCAGTTCAGAGGGGCGCTTTTGCCCAGCCAGAGCCCTGCACATCCAAGTGTGGACAGTCAACTTTGCTTGGACCTGTTCTTTTCAGTTAAATCACTGTAGAAACTCTGGGTCCATGACACACACTGTGATTTCTTCCGCTGTTCTAAGCCTGCCACAGTGGCGGTGGGATAAGCCTGGAGAAAGAGTTGTTCGTGGYGGACTAGATGACAGGGGTAAACTGCCATCGTCTGGTTCCCAGTGGTACCTCAGACCACAGGGGGATCATCCACTCCCGGGGAATAAACCCAGACTGAACACTGGGGCCGCATGTGGGACATCAGGGTCTACAGAGCCTGCCTTGACCTCTGTGGACGCAGAATCAGCTGAGGATGAAACGTGAGAGGCACCGGGCAGAACAGTGCTCGCCCCTGGCAGCGAGGGGAAAGCCGCCAGGGAGCAAGAGGGTCCCTGCAGGYGGCTTGGTGGAGAAGTTGGAAACTGGGCTGGGTCAGTGACAGTGGGGTTCAGGAGGCAAGGGTCTAGGTCGCCAGATTAGCAAATAAAATACATGTCCCATATGACATTTGGGACATCAGGCTAAAGTATTCATGTGTATCTGAAATTCAGATTTAAACTGGCCGTCCTGTGTTCTATGCATCAGACCTTAATGGGGGAGGGTCTTTAGTGGCAGGCGCATGTGCATACCAATACATTGAGTGAGCAGTGAGTGGGCCGGTGTTTGGCCAGAGCGGAGGGAGGGCAGATCGTAGGGCAGGACTGGAAGTTGGTGCCAGGTCATGATGGTGCACCTTTGGGTACCTGCTCTGGCACACATCTGTGGGCACACCACAGGTTCACACTTTCTCTTCCCCGCAATGATGATAGCATCGTTATTCAGAGCAGRAAAAGAAACAGGACTGGTAGCAATGGAACACGAAAACGTGGCCCAGCTTGAGTGTTTATGCTAGAAGTGATACCGTGTGGGTGGAGAAGAGCCARCGTCCTTTTGGTAGTGGGGCAGATCATAAGGCATTCATGAGCCCCGGGCCTTTTCTGTGTACTGCCACAATCTGGGGGTTTTGTGTAAATGTCTGTTTTTYTGAGATTTTTCTGAACCTGGCTGTGGACTCTCAAAAGCCTAGGCTCAGATCTTCAGGGGTGGTTCGTCTCTGGTGTGGCTCACACTGTGTTTGACGAGTTCATAAGCCGAGCAGAGGCCAGAGCCCAGGTCTATCTATGAGTTCTCAAATCTTTGCACCATTGCTATGGCTGTACCAGGTCAGGTATTTAAAATGCCAGAGTTGATCCACACATGGCAGCATGCATCTGTAGTCCCAGCTACTCTGGAGGCCAAGGCAGGAGGATCATCTGAGCCTGGGAGTTTGAGGCCAGCCTGGACAACATAGCAAGACCCTAWCCCTTTAAAAACAAAACAAAACCACCAGCACCTGGGCACAGTGACACATGCCTGTAATCCCAGCTGCTTAGGAGGCTAAGRCGGAGGATCATGAGTTTGATGCCAGTCTGGGCAACTTGGTGCGACTCTGTSTTTAAAACCTACACCCGGGTACGCTTGCCCCCGCCCCAGCCCCAGCCCCAGGAGCTTCAGGTGAAGGCTCCATCTCTCTGCTGCTTTCCCGCTGTATCAGGCTTGAAGATGCCCAGGTAGAACTACGGGTGGAATTGGTTGTTGACATCCATCAAAATTTTAATTCTTTTTTAATTTTTTTAGTTTTACATGGGCACAATACCTTTGTTTTATTTATTGTTATGTGGTGCTGMGGATCGAACCCAGGGCCTCGCATGTGCTAGGCGAGCGCTCTACCACTGAGCCACAACCCAGCCCCCAAATTCTTGACAAGTAAATTTTAGTTCTTTGGTGTGCAATCTATTAATTTAAAAATAAARCCAGTCAGAGCTTAGGAGGCCGCGTGTGGTAGAGCTCCTCCTGCCTGCCCTCCCGCTGCCTGCTCGCCCGTCTCCCTCTGTGCCCGTGTCACATACAGTGTGGGCCCTGGGAGCACAGCAGTGAACAGACCCGCAGTCCTTGCCCAGGTAGAAGTTACAGCCCAGTGAGGGAGACCAAAAAAAAGACCAAGAAACAAATAGTTGGAGTTCGTAYGAATGTTGGGAAGGCGTTGCTGAAGTGCCTTTCCGGCTTCCCTCTTGGGCGGGAGTGGAATCSGCCTCTTCTGTGCCAAATCCCATGGTCTTGTCGGCTCAGTGGGGGGAAAGGGGACGGCCGCCTCRGGCAGAACCGGGTGAGGAAGCAGCCAGGGGTGGAGCGGAGGGGCGGCTTCTGCCCCTGGTGTTGCCGTCTAAGGATGGCAGCCAGGGAGGGCGGGGGTATGCCCTGTGTGCTCACCCCTGTGCCCGCCACCGTCCTGAGGACTGAATGCACTGTCTCCCAGGGGGGGGCCTCTGAGTCACCCGGGGTCTCAGTGGGAAAGGACATTCAGTGACTTGCCCTGGAGGGAGGCCTCTGGTAGGTGGTGGAGTGGAGGCCTGGCCTCAGGGCCTCAGCCTGCTGGAGTGACGCACTGRCTGGGGCCCCAGGGGGAAGGAAGCTGGGGCTCCACCCTGCGGTGTAAGTGGGGATGTTAGGTTCGGGCGGTGACATGACAGGGGGGCACCTGTGGGGGTTTCGCTGGCCCTGGGACAGAACAGCCAGCCCCCCCCAGACCCGCTTCTCTGAGGGAAGCTGTTAGACACCCCCTCCGCAGCCAGGACTTCGCAGGCCGGGGGTTTTGTAGCCATCGCTGAGCAGCAGCGGGCCTGTGGGGGTGCTGTTGTTGCCTTTGGCATGTCGTCCTTCCCCTTAGAATTCAGGGGTACAGAGTGGGAGGAGCAGGGACTTTGGAGTCACGGAGCCCTGAATTTAGTTCCTGCATCCACCCCTTACTTGTGTGGCCCTCGGGCAACTTAATGATTCTGGGCCTCAGTGCTCTAGTCCATAAAATGGGGGTGACATACACGCTTCACGGCACGAGTGTGAGATTTCAAGTATGCAGAGCACCAGCATGGTGTGTGACACGCCTGGCACCTGGAAGTGGCAGTAGGGGGATGTTGTCACCAGACTTGACCTTGAAAGTCACCCCATGTCTCCAAGGCTGGAATCCCTGTGAACCTCAGGGCAGGCTCCTGGCCTCCAGTTTTGCCAGGTAGTGCTTTGCACTCTGGATTTTAATGTACCCCAGTGTGGCTGGAGGCCGAGGCCGGCTGTCTCAGGTGGCAGTAGTCGTGGCCTGTCTTCAGGGGGCAGGGCCTTCAGGAGGAGCATGGGAACCCCCTGCTGTCGGCGGCTCTGCTGCTCGCCTGTGCTCCAGGGTTCCACTTTTTCACTGGGAAGGGCCCTGGGTGCAGGGTCACGGTCATCCTTACCACTGCGTGCTAAGTGACACKGTGAACCCCCACAAGCCCACCTCTGAAACGAGCCTGAAGGAAGCTGGCTCTGAAAGTGCTGCCCCCCCCAACCCCCACCCCCAGAAAATTTGGGTGGAAATGGATGATTGGGTTGGAGGGACAGCCAGCRGCCTCCGCACCAGCAAGGCCCTGGTCAGAATCGGCAGCACGTGCCCTGAGGTTCCATGGGGTTGTCCTCAGATGAGCCAGCTGCAACTCCGCCGTAGGAGGCCACTGCGAAGCCACCTTCCCCCAGCTMGGGCTGACTGCAGGAGCCCGCCGGTGGTGCTTGGCCAGGCGCCTGGAAAGTGTTGGAAACCCCACCCAGCACGGCCCGGGGGAGTGCTCCAGCAGCAGGGGCTGCTCCTCTCCGCGTTCTTTGGATTCCTGTGTATTTGAGATATTTACCTTCTTCTCAGGACTTGAGCTTGTGCTTTGCCCACCAGAGACCAATACCACGCAGCCACACGCTGCACTTCCTAGACCACCCCGGTGACCCGGTAATTAAAGCTGCACAGGGCTTGTAGAAGGAGGACTGTGTTGGAAATCACGCTGCACTGTAATTCAAGAGCAGGTTTCTTTATAGAGGGACACAGTTGGTTTCAGGCACATGTGGAAAAGAAAAAAAAAAAAAAAACAGGCCTGTAATTTTGGCAGGGCACCAAGGGCCAGATGTTAAACGTACTGACCACAAGATGGCTACGGTTATCGCTCTCCAACCTGAATTCAAAGTATGATTTTAATCACTGTTGCTSTCTGTTCCTTTCTTTCTGCCAGGTCCCCAGCCTATGTGAAGATCTCCTGTCTTCTGTTGACCAGCCACTGAAAATTGCCAGAGACAAGGTGGTGGGAAAGGATTACCTATTGTGTGACTACAACAGAGATGGGGACTCCTATAGGTGAGCTCACACCCAGGAGTGCCACAGGGCCGCCATTGCCACTGCTGCCGCAGCTCAGAACCCTGGACTCCACCGGGCTGCCTGGGGCCCAGCCACCCCTCTCTCTGTCTGTCTTTCTGTCCTCTTCTTTCCTCTCTTCCTTCTCCCTCCCTGGCTCCGTCTGGCTCTTCATCCTCTCAACAAGCAGGTGTGTGCAGAGTGCCTCTKTGATCGCCTCACAGTCTGATGGGAGAGGGGCGGAGTGCAGGTGATGGGTGCCCTGAACTTGGGGTCTGTGTTTAAGGGATCCAGCTCTGTCAGATACGCACCTCTCCCTCTTCTTCCCACCACCAAGCTCTGGGCTCTAAATAGCCAAGGTGACATTAGCCCCTGTCCTGGGAGACACAGGCAGCCCCTGGTGACCCTGTAGCCTGTCCAGAGATTAGAGGTGGCACAGAGAAAGCCATGGTCATCTCCAGGAGAATTTGTCAGCTCCAGGAGGACTTGTTGAAGGAAGCGATGAGCTCTAGCCTTCTTTTTGGTTTTTTCAGTGCTGGGGATTGAAACCAGGGCCTCAAAAGCACTCCATCACTGAGCCACATCCCCGCCTTTTTTAGTTTTTATTTTGAGAAAGGGGCTAAGTTGTCCAGGCTGGCCTTGAATTTGTGATTCTCCTGCCTCAGCCTTCTGGTTGCCAGGATTGCAGGTGTGCACCATGCACCACCATGCTTGGCTGATCTGGATTTTTAAGGGGATGTGGAAGTTATTCCTAAGAGTAGGAATCCCTAACSCAGTCCCGTATCTCCATGCTTCGAGAACGGTGGAGGACACAGTGTGCTGCAGTTTTAGTAGAGACCACCTGGCCTCAGTCCTGGGACTTCAGCCTAGTGCTGTTGCTGGAGGGGGTGCCAGGGGTGTAAGTAGAAGCAGGAAGAATGACTTGCAGTCGGCCTGTGTGGGCTCCAGGCCAGCACTGTTCCCCAGGGCACCAGGACTTTGACAAAATCAGTTGTTGTCTCTGGGCTGTTTTCTCATCTATAACACAGTAATAGTTTAGTACTCGTGTGTGCAGCAGAACGAGCAGTGGCATCTTTCTCTGAGCATGTCCTGTGCACCAAGCACTGCTCTGAGTCTCTCTCCTGTGGCGTCTGGATCCTAGTGAGGAAGCCAGACAGCACACGCACAAGTAATACAGACTCTGAAATTGCTGCCAAAGAAAGCAGAGGACAAGAGGGAGGACAAGACGGCTGCAGAGGGAAGGCTCACCTGTAAGGAAAGAATTCAGTCACACACAGGTCAGCCGAAGAGCTCTGCTGGCATTAAGGCCCTGGGTGGGGCCGGCAGAGGACCCGGAGGCAGTGAGGGTGGGAGATGAGATCAGAGGCGTGGCGGGGCAGGCACGCAAGACCTGGAAGGCAGGCCAAGGCTTCTCAGGGAAATAAAAAGAAATAGCACACAAACTGTGGATCAGCGTAGAGCTCATCATATATTTAAAAGGTTTAATTTATACGTATTTCCTTCTTATCATCAGTGGAAGTGAGTTAGAGTGTCAGTTGGCCTATTTCAGGCTCCTGATGGGGAATAGGATGAGACTGAGATGGGTGCCATAAGGTGGGCGGAGGGTGGAGAGGGTGAATGTGAAGGGTGGTGCCAGGCATTGGGCCTGGGCAGTTGGAAAATGGGGCCACTGTTGTTAGAAAGAAAGACAGCTCAGGCAAGAACAGGTCTGGGGACACTTCATGCTTGATGTGCCCTTGGATSGAAGTGGAGATGCCAGATGGGCACAAATACACGGTTGAGTTTCCCGAGAGGGTTTGGGGCTGGAGAGAAAACTGTAGACGTCCTGCATAGAGCTGGTGACGTAGCCCTTGGCAGGTAAGTTCACAGCACAGTGTTCAGGGGCAGTCCTCGGAAGCCTTCAAGGAGAAGGGAGGAACAGCCCTTGGAGAGAGACGTCCAGTGACCGTGGTGGGTGGTCTGAAAGGCATCTCCTGAGCCCTGGCACCGGGCTCAGGGRCTTCCTGGGAGAAGTGGTCCTTGAGCCGAGTCGTTTGATGGTTATGTTTCTTTCCACCGCGGAGTCCTGCGTAAGGTAGCATGGGAACCCGTGAAGCATGGGGTGGTGTCCGCTCCCAGCTAGGCTCCAGCCCAGCAGCCCCTCCAGGGTGCCCCCCATGAGGCACCAGTGGGCTCTAGGGAGCTGAGCCTTCCCAGAGAAGTGTGGGTATCGGGCAGAGGCTGTCTTTCCTCTCTCCCCTTCTCAGTTTGAAACTTCAAGGTCTTCTGTTTCCTCCACACATTTCCATCCTGTTTGATCGTTCGCTTAAATAAGATCCTTATGGTGTGGCTGCTGCCAGGAGCGCTGTTTGAAACCTGTTAGCTGAAACAAAAAGCCTTCTCGGGGGGAAATGAAAGGCCTGACTTTTGAAATCTAAGCGTTTCTGTCCATCTGTCTTTTCTCAAATGGCCTCCATTTAAGCTCTTAAATGTGTTCTGAGTGCCCCTTCCACTAAGCATATTCTGGGTAATGTTATGATTTTTTCCCCCAGCTACAATTACCCTGGCTCCAGGACTGACGGCTTGAAATGCTGTCGTCTGTGAGCCGTAAGGACTGTGAGCTACAGACCTCTTGAAAATTGCAGGCCCCCGGTCTGCAAGAGGATAGGCTCTCGTGTCTCCTCACGTTGCCATAGTGGGCAGATCTTCAGGCCCAGGGACGATGACAGCCCTTTAACTGTGGGAACACCCAGTCATGAGGAGAGTCTCAGAGGAGCAGGCGGAAGTGGGAGTTCAGGCTCCCACTCATTCTCTCGCCTGCTGTGCCTCCTGGGGGGACCAGGCCTCGTTTACAGGTGAACAGTGGCGCCACTGACAGCTTCACCTGCACCTTTGTCTCTGAGATCTGATAAGAGGCTTTGAGAGAGGCCTCACAGCGTTCCCTGGCTGGTCCCATCCTGGGCTTCAGCCATGGGCATGCACAGCCATGCCCAGTTTTGTTTTGTTTTTAGATGCGTGCGTGTCCCTGAGCAGAACAGATAGCCGCTGTCTCTGTYGGCTGGGGGACTGTCTGCAGGGCCCTGCTACAGGGATCTGGCAGCATTCCCYGAAGCTAATGCAGTGGTGGGTGCTGGCGCAGACATCCCCTGCCCTCTTTCTCAGAGACTCTTGCGGGCCAGGCAGGGCAAGGGCCTCAGTGACAGTGACAGTCCACATCTGGGTGGAGGGAGTGGTCCCATCTGCTTTTCAGGGGAAGAAAGTGCAATTCTTCTATTAATGCTTTTTAACGAGCATGGGGTAGAGGCCAGGCATGTTCTAGGTGCTGAGAAACCAGTGGAGAACAGAACAGGAGAGGTCTCCCCCTCAGAGCTGGAGCCCAAAAGTCAGCTACTAGATTTAAGCTCATTCAGATGGAGATGCAGCCCCCTGGTATCACCAGCCGCGTTTCCAGTACTTGGAAGCCTTGTGTGGCTCCTGGCTGTCTTGTCGGCCAAGGCCGATATAGAACGTTCCCATCCTCACAGTGGGCTCCATGTGGTGGCAGTTTTCCAAGGATGAACCAGCAAGTTCCAGGACAGGAGCCAGCATATCCACCCAAGCTCAGGAAGGGAGAGGCGCCGTCCCTGTCCAGGCCACCTGGGCCCCGGCTCATATGTGCACATCCAGTGTGACCGTTAGCTCGTGCTGGTCGTAGGGCTGGTCCTGGGGCAGCCAMGGAGTTTCCCATTGTGCAGAGTCTCCACCAGCTCTGTGAGCAGGGTGGGATCRGCAGCCCTAAGGCTCCTGCTCTGGGTGGCCAGCAGCTGCTGCCTGGAGACCCTTCTCTTATGGTGCAGCCTCTGAGAAGGCAGCGACTCTGCCTGAGGATGCTTAGTCTATTTCTGTTTTCAGCAAGATTTGCTGACATAGCTTCCTGGCAGAGCCTCAGTTACCAGGAAGAAAGACTTGTACATAGAATTCCTTTTAACTGGGGCTCAGAGGTGATAACACCTTTCCTTCAGGCATCAGACCCTTCCCACATCGGCAGGTGGACAGCATGGTTCCTGGTGGCAGGAACATCATGGCATTCGTGCTCAGGAGCTGAGAGGCTTCTCCCCAGCTCCCTCCTGTCTCCTCTTCCTCCTCCTCCTCATTCTTTCGCCTTTCTAATTCCATTCCTCTCAACGCCCAACCCTGTGAATGCCACCTGCAGGAACTGAGAAGTGGACCTTTTCCTTAAGCCCTCCCAGGTCTCTGTCTGACTAAATGCTTTCCTGATGGGGCAAAATACATTCTAAGAAGTGCTGTAAGTCTTTGGACTGGGAAGAGAGAGGCTGGCTCTCATTTCGTCCAGTCTTCCTGTGTGCGTAGGCTGGGTGCTGGGAAACTGCCTCTGCCACCAGGCAGCACCTGCACCCAGGTTTCCTAACGTCTGCAGCATTTCCCTGTTGGATCTGGCTCTCTTGCCTGCTGCCACCTGATGGCTCTCTTCTTACTACTTACTGTGTAAGAAGGTCTTGGGAGCAGTTTATCTAGAGCCGCCAGCAGGTCAGGGAGGAGGGGGCGTCCGTTGATGAACAAAAAGGAAACTTAGTGAGAAGGGTAAAGCTGACAGCTGAGCACTTCCTGTAGGCCAGGCTGCCACCCAGGTTTGACTCTGAGAGTCCCTCGCAGCATCCCTGTGAAGCAGCCCTGGTATGTGAGGGATGAGGTTCAGACCAAGTAACATGCTGCTGTTACGCAGTTGCGGGGGGCTCCCCTCTGGGCCTTTGCTCTGCACACYTCCAGAGAGCCCTCTTGGATGCCAGGGCCTGGAGACATCTTTGCTATAGGTAATGGCTTTGCCTCTGAAATTTCAGGCAGCTGGGACTTAGGCAAGTTGCTCAACGGCAACTTCTCCCTGGACTCATCAGTGACCGCCCCTCCTTTCTTCCCTCCAGGTCACCATGGAGTAACAAGTACGATCCTCCTTTGGAAGATGGGGCCATGCCATCTGCTCGGCTGAGAAAGCTAGAAGTGGAGGCCAACAATGCCTTTGACCAGTACCGAGACCTGTGAGTGCCCCTGCCCTTGCACCTCACTCTCAGGGTTAACAAGTGGCCAGGTCAAGCCATTTCCCCTGGGTCTGTTGCCTAAGTGAAGGTCAGGACCACCCATGGCAGGGTGCGGGCACCATATTTTTTTAATTGAGTCAGCTCTTAATCACTCACCACAGAATGCCACCTTCTGCAGACTTGTGTGTCACTCTGTGTCACAGTTCATAACCACAGCAAGCACCATTGAGATATACCTGTTGTGTGCAAGACACAGCCAGATGTTTTGCATACTCAAGACCTCACAATGTCACAGCTGTGTTAGTCCCCATATTTCAGATAAAGAAACTAAGAGGCAGAACTGTTCAGGTACTTGTCCAAGGCAAGTGGCAGAGGCAGGACTCATCCTTAGATCCAGTTCCAGAGACCTGCCTTTTACCAACCGCATGCTCAGGGAGCTGGGAGGCCCACTGCCAACTTGACTACTGGGCAGAACGAGGCGAGGTCTTAGGCAGTGGAGCTGCRGCACCCCACTCCAGACTGACAGCTGAACCTGGAGTCGATCCGGCCTTGGCCCCTGCCTTGAGAAAGTGTGGTTGCTGATCTGTTTAGATTCCCTTCTGCTCCTGTCTGATCTTTCCTACTGCCACCACACCACCAGAACATGGGTCACTTAATCAGGCTCCAGAGGAGACTGGCTGTCCTCTCACATGGTAAATTCTATACCAAAAATATGAAACCGTACAACACGCAGCACTAGCTCARTCCCCGTCCCTTCCTGGAGGATGGCRGTCGGCATGCTTCCTCCCGCAGGAGGCTGGACAGAGCCTTCCAGGCTTTGCAGGACACCAGGGTCATTCTTTTGTGGAGGTTTTTTTATTTTATTTTTTTATAACCCATAATAAATGTAAAAATTACCTCCCTAGCTCTGAGGAGGGTGGGATTTGGCCCTGGGTCTGTAGTTGACTGACTCTGGTCTCAAATGTAGGCAAGAGAATCAAAATAAGAGAAATGGTACATCGGAACAGCTGAACCTGTGTCAGGGGTTGGGGTGCTGCACCCGTCTTTTTTCCTTTTAATTTTTTGGGGGTATTGGGGATTAAACCCAGGGGCACTTGACCCCTGAGCCACTTCCCCAGCCCTATTTTGTATTTTATTTATAGTCAGGGTCTTACTGAGTTGCTAAGCGCCTCAGTGTTGTTGAGACTGCTTTGAACTCACTATCCTCCTGCCTCAGCCTCCTGAGTTGCTGGGATTACAGATGTGGCACAGTGCCAGGCTAAAAAAATGTCTTTCAGAAGCTAGTTTGGGATGGAAAGTGATACTTATCAAGATCTGACACACAGGCCAGGTGTAGTGGCCTATGCCTTTATTCCCAGTCACCCTTTCACATTGGTAAATGGGCTCAGGCAAAGGAAAAATCCCTCTGAGGGAGGAGGCAGCTCATCCGATGCCGCCTCATGCCTGCTGGCCATGGTTACTCTGGGGAGCTGTGGGAGATGCCAGATCATCAGGCAGACTCACCCTGCCAGAAAGAAAAGGCATGATTGAGAGTCACCGCCGCCGCCTGAGCAAGACAGACCCGGTGCTTGCTCGTGTCACGAGGGCTAAGCAAGCGAAGCTGCTGTTCCCAGGCCAGCTAAAAGTGGCCTGCGCCCCATCGCCTGGGACAGTCCCAGTGCTTTGGGATCTCTGGATCTCGTGGATTAACAGAGTTAAGACCACGCATGGCTTGTGCTGGGCCCCTCGACCACCCATCAGATGATGGGGAGCAGCCAGACTGCAGGACTCAGAGTCCTTCTTGAGCGGAAGGGGCTGCATGTTCATGGACTACACTTCCCTTTCAACCAGAAGGCCACACTGGACTTGCTCACAGAGACTTGGCATGCACATGTGCCCCCCTCCTCCCCCAGACAAGCAACAGGAGACCCCGATGCCCTGACCCTGCTGTCTGTGGAGATGGGGGGGGTGCTCCAACAGCATGTTGTGTGCACAGTGGAGTCGAGCTTCAGGCCTCCCTCCCTGTCCCTTATCATAAGCCCTTTAACGTTGTCCTTACTTGAGGTTCTCTGTGGAAGGAGGTGGCAGTGAGCCCAGGAGACATGGGGGGGGGACCACGATGTGCACCAGGCAGCCTCAGCCCATGCCGCCCCTCAGAGACAGGGGCTGCTTGYTGTCTCCCCGAGGGCCTCGCTTCAGGCCCCAGCTTTGATCTCTGAGTCTGTCAAGGCTTTGACTTTGCAGGGAATTGGAGCCAATAACTGGCATGTGGAATCGGTATGGTCAGTGACRGAGCTGGGGCTGGGGACAGCTGGCTCTCAGGCCCTCTGGCTTGTAATTCCTGTGGGGATTCCTATGGATCCTCCTCTCAGCCTGTGCACAGCATTTTCAGTTGTGGGCTGAGGCTGGCAGCTGGGAGTGTGGCTCTTCCCCAAGTGGACAGGAGACAAGTGGGAGCCCAGGAAGCTGAGCCGGGTATGCAGCATGGCTCCTTTAAARCCCAGGAATTCTGGGTCTCCGTGCACCTGGTGCCCCCAGCCGTCGCTGGTCCCCAGCTCAGTCAGTCCCGGGCAGAAGGAGCACATGGTCCTTTCCCTGTGAGGGCATCTGTCAAGCAGCTGTTGACGGCACTCCCCAGACAGTCCTGTTTTTACAGTAAGAGGGTCAGGTTGTTGCAAAGCTGGGAGAYGATGGGTGTATTTTGCTAGAGGTTGAGGCTTGGACAACGGAATCACCTACTCTGAGTCATCTTGAATTTCGTTACTTCCACCCTGGTCCCAGCATCTCTGCTGTTCTCACCGTGTCCCCCAAGCCCCAGGATGGCTGTCACATCACAATTTGCTTGTGAGGTCCAAGCATGGTGTAGCCCCTTGGTTGTGGAACCTCGTGCTGTGACCTGAGTGAGGGAGAAGGACCTAGAAATGGAGCTTCCAATGCAAGCCATGTGCTCACAGCTGCCAGAGAAACCAGAGGTGAGCCACGGGCCTGCTACGAGCCCCAGGCTCAGCACATGGACGCTTCCAGTTCCAGGGAAAGCAGGGAGCCCTGTTGCTCCAGCTTGCTCAGTGGATCTCGCCTGACCTCTGATGGCCAGGTTCTGCCTGGGATCAGATGTTCTAACCCAAGGGGCTGACACCACTCTCTTCTAAAGATGACAGCTGCCATCCTTGCCAGCCCCATGCCCTGCAATCCTCGACCCTTGGCTTGGAGCAGATAATACTTTGAAACATGTGGATGTAATTTATTGGCCTTCTGAGTTAATTTTAGTGGGTGTGTGTGCAATTGATTGAAATCAAGACKTAATGAAGGCCAGAGTCTGGGGGTGGAGGAGCAGGGCGGGGAGGCGTTTGGTGTTCTTCCTTGTTTTGGGTTTGAGATAAACTTCAAAAGCTTTAATTAGCTTTTCTAATCTACCCTCCTTGTCTGGAAGAAGTTTATAGAGTAAAACAAAGCTGGTATCCCTGTGGCAGTCCCAGAACCGGGGTCTCTCAGGAGCATCCATCCAGGTGCTTGGTAAATGGGCCTTCTCAGGCTCAAATGACATTTGAGCTACCCTGGCCCAGGAGGGGTGGGACACCCATATTAGTATGTGAAGTTTGTCGTCTTGGTCTCGCTGGGTCCCTGAAACTGTATGTTCCCAGCCCCTGGGTACCTAGGRGTGACATGAGCACTGTTTCAGTACTGTGCAAAATTGCAAATAGTGGGTGTTCGGGGAAGGGGTCTGAGGAAACCTGCAGAAKCGTGAGAAGCAGTAGCTGAGGCGCACAGAGGGCCTCCCATGCAGGAGGTCCAGACCCTCACCATGATCTGAGACYGGACCACAGAACAGGCAGGACCTTGGCTTTAAAAGAGATTTGGACTTTAGGCTGTTCTGCTGAGTGACTTTGGTCACCCTCTCTGAGCTGCTTCTTGCCTCTCCTGTGAGGCTGGAGGGCTGTTGTGAGGTATCTGCCACTGCAACCCCTCGCAGTCAGGTGGCACCCTCGGGCTGCCAGGGTAGCAGCATCATGATTCCGCAGCAGCTATGCGTAGAGATGTCCCCCTCTCTCTGCTTACAGTGGTGGGTGTGGGGCTGTTTGGGCAGCAGACTTGGTGAGGTGGGCCACTCGTGTCGCTGGCCGTGCTGGAAGGCCATGCTTGGCCACCAGCCACTAGACCTCRAGTAAAGCTGTCCAGAAAGTGGAGTTCTGATTCTTGCTGGGTCCACCCTGGGGCATAGTGAGATGCCTGCAGACCGCCATGTGTGGATGAGGGGAGCCACCTTTCCTTAGACTCTCGCAGGGACGGGGCCTCACGCTGCAGGTGCAGCCTCGGTGGCATCGACCTGGCCCTGCCCTCCCAAGGCTTCTCAGCAGAGCTGAAGAGGCGCACGGAGAAAAAGAGCCAGTGAACAACGCTGTGCCGTCCGGCGAGGCGAGCAGAGGGCTGCGGTAGGAGGAGCAGTCAGGGCCTGGGGGAGGCGGCTGAGGGCAACTCTGGGGGCCGTGCAGGTGGCCCACACAGGTGACAGCGGGCTAAGCAGGCCTGGGACGCTCCTTCCAGAGCCTGCGGGCAAGGCCTGCCTGCTTGATGAAAGTGACTCCCAGACGGGGGTCGGTCTGAACTCGGTGGTCAGTCTGAACTCGGTGGTCAGTCTGAACTCGTCTGCCTTCCAGGAGTCTCAGGGTTTAATGCATGCGTAAATAAATACGCAGAGTCCTGGGCACCCGCCCTCCACGCAGCCTCCGCTGCATAGCCACGGTGTCACACGTTCCTGAGGAGTGTGCAAGCTGGTGCCTGGGTTCTCTGGCTCCTGCCTGGGTGTGCTGTCCCTCAGTGGATTTGGCTTTGTGTCCTTCACTCCAGTTTCTTGGCCCTGAGGACAGCACCGTGCTGGTCTTGTGCTTCCTTATGCATCCTCAAACCTCAAGCGCTCTTGAGGCCACACAGCCACAGACCTGGCGGGAGTGGCCAGGGCAGTGCTCTGGGCAATGGAGAGCCCACGGGGATGGTTCTAGGTGGTTGTAGTCTAACAAGTAAGG